ATATGTACATATATGTATATTAGGGTGGTCCTCAAAAATATGAACATCGCTTTTGTTTTACGTAGAAAATAAAAAAATTCGCGGAAATTTAATAATTTTATAGAAATTTTTTCGAGGGTCTACTAGGATTTAAAAAAATTTAAATTTTTTTAAGATCCCAAAAAAAGTTCTACAAATAATTTACTTGAATACTTAAACTAAAAACTGTAAGACATTATTGTAACTTATGGCCGCGTCAGAATAGGTATTTTGCGTGCGTTTCACTCAAGTGTGAACATATTAGAAAAAAATTTGAATTTTTTGCTATTGTATCTGCAAAAGTGACTTGCGTAAAACCAAGTACGCGGCCATAAAGAAAAGCTGATTTTTGTTTGCAGACGCAACACCTTCATTGTGGCGTATCACTACGTTGCGTGCGCCACTTACTTCGCATGCTTTTCCGTTATTGACGTACAAGTATCGATTCTGACGGACCTATTATTCATATAAAATGCATACACTCGTTATAATTGGTAAAAGCAAACATTTTGTGAAATTTTTAACGATTAAAAAAATTTAATTTTTTCAAACGATGGTAGCGACCCAAACAATTTTTTTTAAGTTTTTTTTTAATTTTCGTGTATGTCTTTATTTTTTAATTAAAACAAAATAAAGGGGTGCCTCATGATGTTGATATTTTAAGGACCACCCTAATGTATATAGCCATACTCGAAAAACCATTAGACAAGTACAGATTATAATGTTTACATTTTAAAATCGACGCTTACAAACTGACCGTCTAAGACGTTCACAAACTCAGATACATAATTTAGTGTAGTTTTATTAGTTAGAACAGCGGTGATTGGGTGGTGCTCCCACTAAAGATAGTGGAAGTAAACATTTGCAAGTTGGTGTTGTTTTTTTTGTCATAACTTTTTTATTTTTGTCTCACTTGGAACCAACGTAAATAAATAACTAGGCGAGGTTTGGATGCTCTTTGTGTTCACCTAGTACTAAAATTATAACCACATTGAAGCAGATTCTCTTACTTCATTTCTACTATATATTTATACAATAACTTACCTCTTTAAAACCAACTGTTCGTTTCGTGTTCGCAAAAACTCTTGAAATAACAACACAATTAATTTTTTAAGAATCTTATCACATTTATTTACTTTCATTTTAATTACAAGATTTGTATTATATATTTTTTTCTTTTTAGTTATCATTCATTATTTACTTATAAATCTTTCTGTACTTATTTATCAACTAATTAAAGTTTAATTAATTTTAGCTCTTGTATTTATTTATTTATTTAGCATTAATTGTTATCTGAATTATTACTAAATTTTTAATGAACAAACTACATGCGAATTTTTGTAGTTTCTCTCAAAAATATCTTCATAATTTTGTTTTCCTTTGAGCCGTGGAATTCGATCAGTTATTGGATATATTTCCACAGTTATACGCAATATCTTTTCGGCCCCTTTCTTTTTAGAAGTTTAACTGAAATAAGTTTTGCAATACAAACAATCCAAGGGTTATTTTGAATTTTTTTTCACACAAGTTATTTTAGTGCCTCGACAGCTTTATTCAACTGGCGCTGTAGATTAACTTGGAATAAAATAGTATTTCTTTTTTAATTGCCCATCAACAAATGTGCTATCGTTTTTGTTTTTCCGACCTTCTGCCACGTTTTTAGTACTCATTATCTAATCATTATTTCCATCATCATCATGTGATTGTCATACAAAACATTTCACATAATTTTAATATATTACAATTGTATATTTTTAGAGAACAATTTGTAGAAATTTAACTTAAAATTAGAACATTATTAGTTTTGAAACTACTACTTTTTTATTTACTTGTACGTATGTATAATATTTTATAATTTCTCTCTTCACACTACTAAAATTATAAATACTTAAACCTTAGTCACATTCATTTATACACTCACTCACTTTACTCACATACTTAATAAATTGTGTTTATCTCTATAAATAAGCAGTATAGATAATTTCAATTACATATTGGACAGTTCGTGAAAGCATTTAGGTATGTTTTATGTGTGTTAGTTAAAGCGAAAATGAGAAAGCATTATTTGTTATTTATTCTTGAGCGAATAGAAAATTGAAAATGAAATATATTGATACAGAAAAATGTGAATGGCATTGAAAGAATTTAATGTTAATCTGGCAAATGATGCCACATACATTTGAAGAATGAATTCAAATCAGTCAATATGCATACTGCATATTTCGAAATTTTACGAAAATTTTTGTCACCGATAAATAAAGTTCCTATAAATTTTTAAACTCTTTTCATATTCTGTGAACTCTTGTAACCGGTAAATTTTGTTACTATCTCATAACCTTCATATTATTATAATTTTAATTGCATTACCAACGTACCTAGAATTGCGGTAAAGTCATCGGCAATGGACAGAATAGACCCATGGAAGTGGATTTAAATCCCCTAAGGCCATTAGCCTCCTCACCAAATTTTAAATGAAATAACATTATTCATATGAATGCATATATTTTCCACAAGTCTTGCTTGTACATTTTTGACTGCGATAATATTTTTATATTTTTTATGAAGACTACGATGCTCAATTTTGATAGCAGATGATTTCGAAGTTTTTGAGCAAATTGGCCTAGGAAGTAGGAAAAGTATTTTTTATTTTTTTGAACTTATAAAACTGATTCACATGCTAACATGATCAACATCGAAAAGTGATGGTCAAAGGAATTTTAAAATCTCTATTTGTTCCCCAATTTTCAGTGATGAAGCTCAAAATTAATATATGTAGACAACTTTCAGTATGAGCCCAGCAATCATTTGGCGTCACACTCATAACCAAACTGCGAACTCTTCTTTGTTATTGAAAAATTACAGAAGTCAAATCGGGAATTCATATTCCAGTTGAATTCTTATTCTGCCCCTTACTACTTTACAATACATATTTTTTTAAGTTATTTTGTGTATTATACTAATTAAAATATTAATGTTTTACTTAAATTAAGTAAGTAATTTACTTTCGCTTAAATCTTTATACTTTTTTATTAAATTTTTTTTTTTTAGGTATATAACTATATATATCTCACTATTAGCAGGTAAAATTCACATTGATTTCTCATTGTTGTTCTTGTTGCTGTATTTGTTACTATATATATATATATATATTATCCGATCAATTATTATTGCTTTTCATGAACATTAGGAAAACAAAGCGCCATTATTAAGATTATGTTACATATATTTGTATAAAAGTTTTGAGGCTTTTATCGAGAATTTCTGAGTGAAGGCGCAGATCAGTAGGGAAAATCTGGAATATGAATAAATTAGGGGTTTATGTGACAAAACAATTAATAACAATAAGTCCTTAACAGAATGAATAAATGGAAGAGATGGCCCTTAAAATCGAGGCGAGCACAACGGGCCGCCCTCATTGGACCCAGTGGGGCACCATGGATCTCTTAACCAAGATGCAGCTTTTAATTCCTGTTAACACTTTCTCTGATATTGCTCAAATTTTCAATGACTGTGGTCTAAAAATCTGAGACCAAATTTTTAAATTTTTGTGAATAAAAGAGGCAATGATTCAATACAAAGTACACCAGGGTTTGAATCTTGCTGAAAGTTGACTACCCAAAGCGCCTGTGAAACTTGTTACCATTTTCTCTTTATTTAGTAAAGACGAGCACTGTACGTAACCTCTTATTACTTACCCTTTACGGGTATGCTTTCGAAGCTATATTTTATTCCTGGTTGCTTACCACTTGTGCACGATTTGGAAAAAGTGTGAATGGCCTATGAGTTGAAAGTATGCATACCGCTTAAGACGGAGCTTACTTCAGAGAGCTTTCGCGTACATTGAGAATAATTTTTTAATACAAATTGAAATAGCTCTAAAGATTTGTGCAACCCTAGTGACGAAAATTTTTTAATGCAATAATAACGTCCAGGAATTGTGAGTTTGACAGGAAATTCCCACTTAAAAAGTGATATCAAAACTAAAAACTTATATGAAATCATAAGCCCAATCTCCTCAGCACTCACCTGTTTTCTATATAAAAGTCTCAATACTTTCAAGCGCGTTTGTTTTGCGTAAAATGCGTATAACACAAGCGAATATAAACAATTATATAATATGCTAGGTTTTTTTTTTGTTTTTGTTTTTGTTCTTTTTTTACTTTATTCATATATTACAAAAATTTACATTGGTTTAACGTTAAACATGGCTATTAATAAGCATACTTACAAATACATACATATAGATTATTTGAAGCATTAAAAACTGGCAAATCCACATCTGATTTCAATGTGTATATCTATGTATGTATGTATAGGCAGGCTTTCTGACATATGTATTGAATAAAACTATAGCAAAACTTCAAAACTAAACTGAATACCTATTTACATTTCACAAAGAATATTGTATATAATATAATAATAATAAAAAAAAAATCACTTACGCCCTAAAATCGCTAAAAAAAAAACTGTCTACTCCATACAGATATTCACTCCACTAACAGCTCTTTCCATATGTCTAATAAGTAGATAAGCATTTCTTAAGTCTATCACCAAGTTGCCGTTACCAAGAGTTTTGCACGATTTTGTTTTCCTTTTTTTTTTTTGTTCGGCGCATCTCTACTCTAGCATTTTATTTTTAATTTACTTTCTACTATTTTATATTAATTCTAGAACTTCCTAGCATACATACAGTGAATACATATGTATGTATGTACACTCAGGGTTCCTTCTCATACGTCTTGCTTATATGAAACAGTTACAAATTCTAAATCTCCTAAATGTAAGTAATTTACAAATTTAAGTTTTTGTTCGCCTAAAATTATGCATGCGCGTTTGACTAGCGCTAGCTTTTTAAAGTATTATTTTTTCTATGACAAATTTTATTAAAATCTAAAATTTTTGCAATTGTTCTCTTGTTCTTAAATTGTGTGGTATTAAGTGATAGATTTGAGTATTTTTGTTAGGTGGTTTTTGATGGTTTTATTTTCAGAAACATTCCACTGTCACTTAGCATACTTTCAGGCAGGCAGGCAAATGTTATTTGTGTGTATGGAAATGTATATATTTGAGTGTATGTATGTGTGTTTTTTATTGTATATATGTATATATAAATGCTGTTGTATATGTATTGTTAAGTCGTTCACATTACATTTCGGTTTCTCTTGGTTACTCTATGTGCTCTTTAATTCTCTATTAATATATTTTGTTTTCTTTTTTCATTATTTCATATTTCTCCGTCGCTTTTGCTTGCTCGTTTGCATTAAAACCTTCGGTTGTTGCATTCTTCTTTTTATGTGTTTATTTGTTGCTTATTTCTGTTTATGTTTTTGTTTTGTTTTTTTTTTCTGGCAGGATCTCTTTGTTAGTAACTTTTCTGTTGTCGTCCTCATCGACGCAAGCTTCCTTATGTGTACGTACATGTGTAACTTTGTGTTTGTATGTGTGTACTGGCTCCATGTGCATAATGGTGCTTCATGTCCTCTATATAGTTAAAAAGTTTATTCTGCGTTATCGCGAAATGTTGGTGCTGCTCTCCAGGCTTGTGGATCTCTTCCGAGTTCTCAGACATTTTGTTGGTTTTTCTTGTCTTCTGCTCATTTTCTATTTGGATGCTTTATTTTTAACCATGTGAGTGTTCTTTTTTATCGTTTTTTGATACTGTACAATTTTCATATTTTTTCTTTAATTATATGAAGTTTGATATATTTTTTTTTGTAGAACTTTTTAGTTACAAGAATTTGTAGCAAATTAAAATTTTTTAAATTACGAAAATATTGTCTCTCAAAAGCTTAAAAAGTCAGTCTTTAGTGGTTGTTCGCGCTACCTGCGAAAAAAGTTAAGAAAAAAAATGTCTTCGAATCATAAAAAATCTTGGATATTTTTTAATCATCTGAAATATAATCAGGAAGAAGTAATTTTTAAGTAATAAGCTAAACCGAAGTCAATGCTTATATAAAAATTTAGGAGTACCGTTAATTTGAGGTACCACATTTTCGACAAAAAAAGTTATTATCGAAAACGATTCACGTGGTCCAAATTTATCCGATAACATACATACAAAATATATTCCGATCAACTGATAACCTTCCTCCTTTTTTTGAATTCGGTTAAAAATAGAAATATAAAGGGTGTTTCTTCTTAGACGTGTGGTTTTCAGTGAGGCAATACTTCTTTTCGGAGTTGGTCTTTTTGACAGCTGTCACTTGATATATACTCAGTTTGGTTTGCCATTTCATAATGAACAGACTTACTCCAACAACTCCAAATTGGACCCCTCGGATGGAATTTATTCGCCATAACATTAAACTATATGCGTTTTATTTCCTCTTGAAAACCACAGGTCTGAAAAAAACACCCTTTATATGTGGCAACCCTAATATTTAATATTCTGCGGTAGAAAGAGTCAGATCAAAAGTTATCCTTTTGGTATAGACTCTCTTTATTAGCATACATTTTTTTTTAGTTTTAGCGAATTAAATAATTTCTTACTGCCTTACTGTATGTATGTAGGCACCCGTTTTGATATTGATATTTTAATTTTTTGTTTTGTGCTTGTTTTCCTATAGATACTACATTCACGAAATCTTTCGAATTCCAGCAGGATTTCCCATATATTTTCGTGATCTCGATTTCCTGGAATTTAATCAGATTTCAACGAAGTCCCATCGAAGTGCTCATACAAATTAAGAAAAAAGTATTCTCGGAAGTAATAATTGAATCAAGTAAATGTATAAATGATACAAAACATCGGCCTGATATTTGAACCACGTTTTTTCTAATATTTAAGTGGCTTATTAGTTGTAGAGCGTTTGCATTGTGAATACTTCAAATTCTATGCTCCTTCCAATGAAATGAGTATCAGTAAGTAAATTTGCCTAAATTCAGCTATACTTCTTCATTAACTATTATTAGAAATGATTTCCTAGGCTCTTTCCTGAGCTGCCTTCTAAATTTTTTTACTAACAAAACCATAAATAAGTTTATGAAAGTGTAAATTTTTACCTGGCGGTCAGACCACAGCATCATTACTATAGACTTCATTTATATGCTTTCCATTCGCCTTCTCCTTCAAATTGCATTGCTACAGAGACAAAAAAGTAGTAAAACAAAAGTTTCAATTAGATTTTCCGCTTGTTAGTCGTGCAACAGCAAATATACAAATATACTTAGGCTTTGCAAACAACCAAAAATTAATACAAAAATGTCATAAATTTTAAAATGTAAGGTAATGAATTTTGTACGCACTCGCGTTAGCGTGAAATCGTTAATTAAGTTTCGTATGTTTACTGCTGGGGTGGATGGGGTAGGCAGAAAGGAGCGAGCGCCCCGATTGCTAGCTAACCAATTGTGCCCCGGCGGAGCGCATTACGACAAGGGAATTTGAAATCTGCGCCAAGCGGCGGCAACACCTGTCAATGTTCACGCCCAATCACAGACACCAATGCACTTTGGCGCTTAAGCGTAAAATCATCAAACAACTTTTTGCTAAGATGTTTGTGAGCTATAAAGCGGATAATTACGACTACGTGAGGCTGACATCATTCCCCCCCTTGCTAGCCAATTCAGTTGCCTACGTTACGACTGGAGCAACATAAAAAAAAAATTAATTAAAACAATTAGCAACGTTAAATTTCACGCAATTAAATTTTATGCGCTTACATTTTTGTAAACTACTAAAACAACAGCTTTCGTACGATTGTAGGCGTGGGGTGATTGCTTGTGCGTTGGCCAGAAGTGTGGCAGGTCACAGCACAGCACACATATTTCATGGAAATGACCACAGTTGTAAGTGTGGTGGTGTGACTGACGTGTTGCACGGTGGGACATGTATGGCAGATATTTGAAGTCTTAATTGTTTTATATTATCGATACATTTTTTTCCCCCAAAAGATAGCAATCTCCTCCGAATTCGATTAATTGCATATACTTAAAAAAAAATTCTCAAAACTAAAACAGGATCCACTGACTCGCAGACAAATATCATTATTGGCGATACCAAGATTTAACAAGTGTAATACCCAAATTAAGTTAAAATTGTTGAATATAATTGCTGTAAAGCCATAAAATAACAAAAAAAAAAAACAAATTTTTGAATCAAAATAATTTTAGTCGCATCTTTTAAGCCACTTATTTACAGTCCCATTGCTGAGAATTTCTTAGGTTATTTTTGAAACTCTCTGAATGAAACGATAATCAATGAAATGCAAGTTCAGACAACGCAGGCTGTATGTCATTAAATTGGATTTTTTAATTCCGTCGATCTTCATTAGTACAAATTGGAAGACGAAAGTTTACAGCCCTATTACCAAGAAATGACTAAACTAGCCGAAACTACAATAAAAATGATTTGGTAGGTACAAAAGCTTGATACTAATTAAAGAAATAGTAAGCACATTTTGAGTTATTTTGTGTTTTTAAGGAGCTAAACCTAATTAGTGTCAAACTTAGAATTTTATTTATATAGCTTTCATACTATCTACATTTTGGTCATAGCTTTGCTTTCTACAGTCTATGAAATGATCTTATATGGAAAGATGCCGATATTTACAGATTCATCTTCGAGACTTTTTTTTCAAAATGAGTTACTTTTTATATTTTTCTATATTTATATTCTTTCTACATTCGACTGAACTAAATCACTGTATTTTCTAAGCGGAGTAAAATTGCCCAAAGTGATGTTTAAAAATGTTTTGTGAGAGAAACTCCAAATGCGAAATACGTTGTCGAGTGAAATAAAATTGAGAAAACATTAAAAAATTAATTACTTTTTCTCGTGTGGGTGTGTGTGTGTGTGTGTGTGTGTGTGTGTCTTGCAGTAAACGAATTACAGGACTGTTAAACAAATTCAAGGGTGGGTTGAAGAAAGACACCAATGACGAAGTAAAGTCCATCCTTATACAAATATTTAAGTGTGTCAATGTTGCAAGGTAATGTTTGCAAACGAAGAAAAGTATTTAGGTACATGTTCTTCGTATATCTACTTATTCATTTAGGTAACACATACAAATTCTTATGAGGAGATGAATGGTTCGCGCGATGCAAACGCTTTCCAACGACTTACCTCCTGCTTGGCCTGCCATTGCTTCATGGCCGACTTGTATTTCTCGAATTCATTACACCAATGCGAGTAAATTTTCTGGTAATCGTTTTTCTTCGAAGGCGGCGTACATCTGTAAGAAAAATAAAGAAAAAGAGAGCGTAAATTGAAAAGGAGCCGAAAGGAAGGAGTGAGAAAATACAATTTTATTAAAAACATTAAAATACGTGCGAACGAAATGACGAAATGAAATAATGCCCCACAAAATGGATGTACCATCTACCCACCCGTACAGCAATGAAGAGGTTTGCGCGACGGTGTAAAAGGAATTAACAAATAATTTCTGGAAAATAAATTAACAGACAGACATTAGCAACACTGATGCAAAGACGCAAAATGTGCAAGTCAGCAGAGCGCCGGGATGAAGGCGTGGAAATGCCACATACAAATATCCGCTTTGGGTACCCCGTTGCACGAGTGTAGCGAGCGCGCAACAGAAAGCGTTGCGAATTGCGGACAGCCGTGCGAATGGTAAGCGCGTGAGTGCAAAAGATTAAAATTGCGAGCGGCGGCGCGTAACTTAAAGCGAGAAAAGTAGGTACAGTGTATGGTAAGTAGGTAGGTAGTAAATGGTGAATAGCAAATGTTTTGAATGTTATCGCATTCGACGCTCGATCGTTGAGCATATTGGAAAGGAAACGGAAATTAAGCGCTCGGAAGGATGGGCGTTCATAATTGCGAGGAAAAACGTATGAATGTATGTATGTATACTGCAAGCAAGGGTGTGGGTAGCTGAGCAAACGAACAAATAAATCGTAAATGAAAGCATGAAATGGAAAACGAAAATGAAAACTGGAAATTGTAATGAAAATGAAAGCAGCAACAAATAGCAGCTTGTCACAAACGTAAAATTGAATTTTAATTAAAGCTTAAAACCGGGATGATGAGCGCAATGTGTGCACGCCGGTATATGTGTGGTTGTGTGCGTGTGACTCAGACATTGAAATGTCGTTTATTTGTTGTTGACGCTAAAGCGCCAGAAAATTTTACCTATAAATGCTTTCAAATATATACAGAAGTAAAAGCACCCAACGGCGCCTTAAGGTATGCTACTAAAGGCGTCACAGCATGCTTTAACTTGCACACCTGCAAACAATTTCGCTCTGTAGTGAGTTTATTAATAAACAGTGCCTTCTGTTTTTGCCCGTTCTACTTTGTTTTCGTTGCTGTGGCAACACGCGTACTTGGCAAATCATAAATAAATTAATTTATTTAAATTTCAGTTAAAATTTCACTGAGATAAGTTAAAGTTACTGTTCCAATATTGCATTGCAAACAAATTAAATTGTTTTTCCAGTGAAAGCAGCTGCTCCTTCTTCATTGCTGTATTTGGTTTATATTTTATTTTTTATTTTTTGCACCCACTGACTCACCTGTGCGCATCGACATTGACGCTATAACTGCACAGCAGCGTACCATCCAGGTAACTGTCATATCGTCCGCCATCGCCTTCATTCACCGATATAATCACCAAACCACCCTCTGAGGTTTCAATGTACTTTGCGGGACTGTAAATTATTTCATAGCTGCAATGAAAGTTAGAAGTTAGTTCTAAATTTTAGTTTTCCAATAGGAAATTTATTCGCATTTATGTTTGACATTCGCTGACATTTATAGCCTAAACTTTTATTGTTCTCGATTTTAATGGAAATTTATGTGTACAGTCGAAGATGTGGCATTTTATTGGTTGACATTTTCATACCAACATTGTTGGCGCATTGCACTGCGAAAAGCAGTTTCTGCACTGCCAAAAATATTTAACGAAAAATATTTATATTGAATTTTATTGGGAACTTTCGGGGGTTTCTCTTACCACTGCAGTGACTTCATATATGTATTAAAATATCGGTTTTTGAAACTAAAAAAACAGAAGAGTCCAACTAAAGCTTATGCTACTGAACTGTAGTTCGAAGTGAAATTACACAACATTCTTTAATTTTTGGGAATACCTGAACCAAGGGAAGCGGTCTAAGCGTAAATTCATCCTACGGTCATTATGGTTCTCTTCCGAAAGATGAACTAAATCTCCCATTCAGATACATGCTGTCTGTCATACTCACACCAGCGGATGAAGATAGATATTTGGATATCATCTTGGTGAGAAATATCTTAAAATAAAAGTCTAAACGCTGAATAAATATCAAGCAACGCTCTCCTCATCCATGAAAATTGAATAGTAATAATAACATTTTGGTGCGTGCCCTTTTTCTTAGTGCTTGGACGAGCTTCTTCTCCAATATATGGAAAAAATCCGTGCTCTTTGCATGACTGGGATATATGTATGTATGCCAGAAGAATGGGCTTTCCATCGATCAGCTAAAGAAGACTATTACCGAAACTGTCGGTAAAAAGGAAAAATTCATTTTATTATCAACTGTTACCAACCAGAACCTTAAAAACATTTATATTTCACAACCAAGCTTTGAATTTTTACAGTGTACTTTTTTTAGCGCAATCATTAGAAAGACAATGAAAATTTCAATTCCCTTCGCCCTTTCCCACACCAAAACTTCAGACAACTGGCGTAGGAATGCGTGCTGACAGTGCAGCGTCTAACGAAAAGCTCTCGTGCGTACATACACATACATACATACATATACACCCTCCGCGATAATATTTACTCGCAACTTGCATCCTCTGAATTTTCCTAATTTCAGTCATAGAAATCAATTTTTACTTCTGCCAACATCGTGATTCAAAACTATGTTGCTCTGCATTAGCTTAGTTGTGTCAACAAACTTCACTCAACTTCTGGAGCGTGTACGCGTCCTTTGCTGCTTTGGAATGCGTACACCTCCATTTCCGCACAGCACACAAAGCATTTGCGCATTCGAATAGACACAAATAACTATGAAAGTAAAAAATACTTCGGAAAAGTGAAAAAAAAACCAAAAAAAAAATATATTTAAAATTGAAAACTTTTCATTTCTTCGATTCGAATTCGCGAATCCCTTGCGTTTCCAATGCCATTGTACAGGCAATGCGATGGCAACTTAGATAAAAAGTTTTTCCATCAAATGAAACCATAACTTTAAAATATCTAAAAACGTCTTCGGAGTGTTGCTAATGGCAGGGGGAAAGCGTCTTAACCACATAAAAATGTTCACTCGCTGTGCTTTTCCTCTTCGCAAAAGCAAAAAATGCGTCTAGCCAGCGACGGCGGCAGCTGCAAGGCAAATAAGCGTAAACGCCAAAAAGCAGACTTCAGCAATTTGAAGTGTCAATTTACCGCTGCGTCGCGGGATATTGAAAGGGCGATTTTTTCTACAGGATTTTTATTTTTTTTTTTTGGGCTTTATTCATTCCTACTATTTTTGCTTCGCTTCGGTTGGATGCCTTCGGTTCGTGGCTATTGGCTGACTTTCGCTTGGAGTTTCGAAGTTAAATTCGTTGCTGCTTTTATTACATATTTGCTTTCAATGCTGATTTCCATTACGCCGGATCTCCGCCTCACACGTCGAGATGCTTATACGCGTTCGCGTATATATCGCTTTCAATAGCCCATCAAGAAGTTGAATTATCGCGAGCTTCCGCACCGAGGGGTGTTCCAAACAAAGTAAATTCTACCATTCGAGCCAGTGATGAGCACCCAAAAAAAGACGTCTACGTTATTTCAATTGCGCTGCAATGTTTGTGTTTATTGGATTGTGCTTGTCACACAGACGCACGCACTTCTTTTCCCGCTGATGATGATGTACCGCTGTGTGAAACAGCTGTTGTCTCCAAGGACCCATTTACCAAAGCCATTTCTAAGTACTTTTTTCGAGTTAAGAATATTTATAATACACATATTTCCATGTTGCATACTTTATAGCCTGCCAACAAATAAACAGGTAGACAGACACATAGCCCCCGCATACGAACCACTTTTGCTGTCAGCTAACTTTTTCATTGATAAACTCAATTTAAAATTACTGAAAAAAGTACGAGGGTTGCACAGTGTATTAGTGTGGCATACCTGCGCGGTGTGAGGCGTATTGCATACGCTGAGTCCAATATGTCTTACCATTTGCCAGCGAATTAAAAGAATATGAAAAATTTCTAAACAGTTGTTGCGATTATTAAAAAGTTATGAGTGCGCGCAAATGTTGGGAAAGTGTGTTAAGCTTTCTTTTGTTGCATGAAAATTTACAGGGTGACAATTTGTATGTCTTGCACGAAAGGGGATGGCGCTGCGCCGCGATGGTGTCAATTACAAACTACGCCCTTTATGCATTTTTAATGGCAACAACTGCTGCTGACGCACGAAATTTACATTTTACAGCGCGTAATTCCTGCGAGCTTATTTCGATAGAGAAACTAGCTATTTGAAACTTAATTTGATAAAGTTTTGAGTTTTAAAGTAAACCAATGAACTTAAAAGTTTTTGGCTATTTAAATATTTATTTATATACATTCACAAGTTCATACGAATTTTCGTTTCAATGGAAAATTTCTCAATTAAACTGAAATTAAAGTGGAGATGCTATAATGCTCCATTAAAAATGTATTAAAAATATTTTATGGATTTACGGGCTCAAGAATTGTGTTAACTTAAAGATTTCAAAAATTGTATCGCCTTTGAAAATGAAAATGTAGAACTTTAACTGATTCAAATAAAATGGTGACAAACGGTTAAAGGAAACCACAGCCACAAAAAGAATGAAGTGGCCTGCAGTTTAACTATGGTGGACGAACACTTGCCCTAGAGGAAATGCCAGTGGAGTTCTCCTACATCTCTGGCATTGTGAAAGACGAGAAAAACTAATGCATTACCTTACTAACACTTAATGAGTGACAAAACGGCACACCCAGAATTTTTCTAGAAATTCTAAATAAAAAGTTTAACATTTTTGGGTGCAAATGTTAAAGTTTATTGAATTTTCATAATTTTTGTACGAAGCTTGAAATGTGGATTTATGTGGCACTATTTAGGTAAAGTGCTAAACTTTTATAAAAAAATAAAATACAAACATTAAATAAACAAAAGAAAAATACCAAAACTAGACAAAATGTCAATTGGCTTAATGAGGGGACCACAAGTGTATTCCGATTCTACAAAATTCAACTAAAAATAATTTGATATGGATATCAAAAAAAGCTACTTTTGAGAATTTTAACCCAGAAATGTTTCTTTGAGGGTTGCCAAGTTTTTAATACCAATTTTTGTCGTAATAAATTCAACGAGCATTTTTTTGTATGTATGTATGTATGTATACACAGTACATTTTCACTCAAAATATGAACATTTAAACCTAGCATATTACTCAATCGGAGAGTAAAAAATTGGCTTCCAAAATATATTTTTTATAGAATTCTGAGATACTGAGTCGGCTAAAATATTGACTATATTTTTGTTAACTAACATTACCTCTTTTTTCTAAGTTTTTGTTTTCCCTTTGTTTCACTGAGAGAGGTACTCCTCTTTTTTTCGACATAATTTGCATGAGAAGAGGTGTGGGGTAAGCGTAATGCTAAATAACAAATTCCCTTAACATTATTAAATAAAAAAATATTTTTAAATCAAAGCTAGATATCCAATTGACCATTATTTTATACCCAAACATTGAAAACTTTAAGAATACATTCTGAAGAAATTTCGGTCAAACTGGCATAGGAAACATAACTAAAATAGACATGCGACCAAGTTATTAGGAATCAATAAATAAATAGACAAATAAAAAAATATCTGCAGGGTATTTAATTGCAATATTTGAATAATTTTTTCCGAAGAAATACAATATTGTCCAGGACAAATTTTATTCCAGTGAGGAGTCCTCCTTTTACGGCTAACCTGAATACATTCTGTTTAGAAGCCCCAAGCAAAGTTAACATTACTTAATCTTTATACCAGAAGTTCTTTTGGAACTTTTATAATAAATAAATTTTATAGCAATAACTCCAGAAATATTCATACCTAAGTACATTGATTCTTCTACTAAATTTCCGTTGCTTTCTTCTTGTTGACTTAAACTTAAAATACCTACTGTATATGAATAATAAAACAAAATTTTGTGTCTACACACTTACCGTCCTCGCTCCGTTGAATGGTGATACCAACGCACCGACTTCTGCCGCAGCACCTCAGGGATTTTGACGAAACACGACAGATGCAGTGTCTGGCCGTACGAGGCGGTGATGCGTTTTTTCAAAACGCTCGTGTCACAAATACCGGAAGTCTCATTGGCAACATCCTGCGGCAAATGAAGGCAAACGAAAATGTAAAATCAAAAAAAAAAAGAAAAAATGTTCAATGTTATTATGATGCTCTAAGGTAAAAGTGTAAAAATTTGTGTGTTTTACGAAAAAATCGAAATGCAAAACACAAAAAAATACTGCAAAAGATAATGAAAATGCAAAAACCGAAATGTTGATTGAGTGAAAGCATGAATGTAACAAAGTGTAAAAGTGTCAAGAGAAATGTTGATTTAAGCATTGAATGGCATATTTGCCTTGACACCAACAGCAGCGGTCGCAATCAATCGCTTTTCAGCTCACACTCACACACACACACACACACACACACAAACTACAAACGTATTATTTTCGCTTCATTTCACACACTCACCTGCAGCAGTCCCAGCTGGTATGGCTTGCAGGTGCTCGCGTCCTTGTCCCAGCCGCAATACGGATCGGCCACACAGCGGAAACACGAATCGTAGCGGCGGGCGCACATCGCCAAATCGATTTGCTTCACATTGTGATCCGTAGCCAAGTACAATGAGCCCGTCTTCTGACTCAACCCCATCTCGCGTATCGGCTCATTGTAGGCCACCTCCAGCACGTCGAGCAGATTGGAGAAGCGTTGACCGTAGCGTATGAATTGCACGATTTTGTAGATGAGGCCGGTGCTGGTGCCCACGAAATACACCAGATACTCTTGATTTAGTTTGTCGATGCGAATTCTGTAGTAGATAGCAGCGGAAGAACGGAGAGAGAGAGAGAGAGAGGGAGTGCGAGAAGAAGAAGAAATTAAAACAGGTGATAAATTTGTTAAAAAGTGTTGCAGTTAAAACAACAAAAAAAAACGAGGAACATTATGGATTTTTTTTTTTTTTACTTTTTATTATTTTTTATGGTTTATGGCGCTGTTGTTGTAACTCTTGAATGTTTTTGCTTTTTCACAGTTTTGCATGTTGCTGCATAATTAAAATGTTCCGCCCAAATTATCATCATGCAGTGGTGATAAATTTTGGCTTTGACCCAGTAGTGGTAAAAAAAGCTGTAGCCACACTTGAAATTTGCGAGCTGCTTTATTTTGGGGATTAATGTGAATTATTTCTGTCGCAGTGCTTTAATAAAATGGCTGCAACAACTTATAAACACACAAATAATATCGTAAATTTTTGAGGTGATGTCAGTCTGTGTGAAAAACTTTTAGTCCTTTCGAACAAATACAACCCAAGACTCAATACCAATGTCTTCACTGTCGGAACGCTGTTAAGGCTTGGGAGGTATTTTTCTTTTATTCAACGTGAGACTTCCATACAAGTTCATTATTAAAGATTACACCTTAATAGTACTTTACTTGGGGGAAAATTTGATTAGGTGACTGCGTTAGAGGCAGGAGTAGCAAGGCCGTCTAACCACTGTAAGCAACGTTAGAGCCTGTCATCTGCCTAGACCTGGGCGTAGGTATTAGAACCGTTAAATTTGACCAGCAGGGAATCAATTAAGAAGCACCAGTGCAAGAGAGAAAGCACACCGCCCTGAAGACAGTCCCCATTAACTCCTTCTGTATAATCCTAACGATACTCTACGCGAATCCAATTTACCAGCACAGAATCTACTCCACGACTTAAAGCCAAGTTTCACTCGCTATCGAAGGCGGTATTGCCATAAGAACCCTCAACGTCTACAAAAATGCCCAAGGCCAATTCTTTCTTAACGATTGCATTGCTAATTCTGGCAACCACATTTTTAAAATTCTGGCAACCATAACGTACAGAGCGGCTTCATAAGATTTTCCCGCATAATGGGCATGTTGCTGCAAGCACAGAGAATGTAATGGAAGCGCATTCCTACGAATTACTTAACCTACTCCTGTTTTAGGGTATGAAAGTGTATTTTCGTATGTTGAAATTAGCAGTACTTAGTAGTAGTAGTTATACTACTTAATGGTGTTTTATCGCTCCACTATAAAATTTTACCTGCGACGGCTACGATGCGACAAAGCTAGTAGCTTGTTGTAAATCGTTGAAGAATGGCTTTAGCTCACCAATGAGTTTAATTGTTATTGCAATGGCTTTAAAGTTTAAACACTCCCGGAAGGATGTTTTAAAATGTTCAAAAATTCTGCTCAAATTATGCCTTATGACATCATTCCCACCACAACTTTCAGCTTAGCACCAAAAAGAGGGATAGTACTGTTCGGAGGCAAAGTAAATAAGGCAAACTACTTACGTTTGTGTGTTTATAAATATTTATTAATGTATATTTGTATGTACATACATACATATCTACTTTATGCTCAAAAACTTTTTTGAACGCCGCAAGAAAGAGCTTTTTCCACAATGTTAGTTCTTCGACTTAAGTTGCATTTGTTATTTCTTTTATTTTACTTCTTTTTTTTGTTATTTTTCAAGTATTTTTCCATTTTTCACATTCTGTGCCACTACTTTTCGCGGAAAATACGTCTTTCTACAGCTGCTCGTAATGTGGTACATTTATTTAAAAAAAACATGAATAGTTATTTTGCTCGCTAACTCCATAACAACAACAAGAAAATAACAAGTATTACTGCCAGCTTACTTAGTTGCCTGCGGATAACCGCACAGAAAAAGTTGACAACCAGAATTGTGGCAAGTTAGCAAATGATTTAAAAAGTTAAAAAAAAAAAGAAATACCGAAAAAAGGGCAGAGCACAAAATAATAGTATGGCAACCACTCGTAGCAGTTGGCAACGCCATTAACACCATTACTAACATTACAAGCAATTTTTGGCAGCGTCAAAGTCATTGCACGGTCTTTCATTTTACTCATACGCCATGTCGAGCACCAAAAAAAAAATAAAAAATAAATAAATAAACAGAAACTGGTATCATCGCAGTGGGATTATGTGCTTGCATACTTAAGTACACAAAGCACTTTTTAAAAGGCTTTCCGTTTGTTTTTTTTTTAGTATTTTTGAGCAACAACAACAGTGCATGCAAAATGTATTTTCCATTCTCATAAATAAATTAACTTTCGTTTTGTGTTTTCCTTTTTATAATTTTCTTTTTGTTTTTGTTTTTTTTTTACTTACCTATCTACCACCAGCTTGGTGAGTATGATATCCCTTTTATAAAATACTGGATTGCCGAATTCATGATCGACCGCCTTGTCCATTAGCGGATGTTTGCGTATGAAATTTAACACCGAATCTGGCAGCGCTGCTGTATCGTTGGTGCATGTGCCCGGTCTGGGTTCGGGCACTTTCGAATTGAGTACCGGCAGCCAAGCTGAGTTTGAGGTTGCTTGCTCTTTGAATTTGCCTGCAAGAGAGAGAGAGAGAGAGTGGGAAAGGATGCGAAAATGTTTATTTAAAATATTCACACACTTGTTTGATGGGAAGATAAATTAATATGTATGTATCTG